ACTTCTTATCCCTAGTGTTGAGCACAGTCCCCAGCTCACAGTGATTCACTGAATGTACGGTCTACATTCAAATTTGCTTTGCTCCTAACCTGCCTAAAAATGTGTGATGCTCCACTTCCTGAGGGACAAATTAAAACTTTATTCTGGCATTCATTCCCACATGCTCTCAGCAAATGTGGTGTCCTTGAAAAGTCTGATCTTTGTAGTCAACCTCTGTGTGTGTGTGTGTGTGTGTGTGTCTGTGTGTGTACCCACATACACATATATAAAACAAGTGTGGAATTAAATTTAGAAGTATTGCTCTATAGCCCACACAAGTGGGAGTTTATGTGGAGAATAATCTTTATTCAAAAACATTTATTGACTGTCTAGTATGTTCTAGCATTCTCCTAGGTACTGTGTATAAAAATATTACTAAAACAAGGTCTCTACCCTTGAAAGAGCTCATATTGAGTGCAAGAAACTACTGTGTTGAAATGTTTACAGTGAAAGAACATGGTCAAAAAAGTCATTAATTGCTCCTAAGATAGAGAAGCCTTCAGAATGAGGTGGTAGTTGAATAGTCTTGAAATATAGATAGGTATTTACGTGGCAGATTGATAAAAAAGAGAAGGAGGGGGCGAGTCTACACAAAGAAAACAACTTGTGCAAAAGCACAGTTGTATGAAACTGCATGGTATGTTCAAGCAATTGAAATCAGAGAGCATCAGGAGGCAACGTAGAAAGGTAGCAAGGGCCAGATCAAGAAGGGTCTTGTATGCAAAATCAAGAACTTTGCTTTTCTAGAAGACTACAGGAGCCTATGCAATGGAAAGTTTGAATGGATTCTAATTACCATGGGGAAAAAAAAAAACATGTGAAAATTAACCTCTGTGTAGGAGAGGTTAAATTAACTGCAATTGCTTATTTTAGAGAATAGGATGCAGGAGAAAGGAACTTTCACTCTGTGAGAGGTTGTTATACCAAGGAGAGTGACCAGTTATTTTCAGTTCCCACTGAGGACAAAGCAAGAAGAAATAGGCTTAAATCTCAGCAGAAGGGAAAATTACCTACAGAAGGGGGTCCTTCACAGAAAGATTGAGTGTGACTGACGTAGATCATTAAAATGTTGTCTCAGGCTCTCTGGCTGTGTTCTGGTTTCTGTGTATTCAAACAGCCCAATTTCAAAGACATGCCAAGACTGAATATTTTCAGGTTTAAATGACGGTATTTGGAATAAAGAAATTTCATGTGTCAATTAGTTATTCAGATATCTTGCTATCTGCTTAACTAAAGTTTTGGAAATGTATTTGAACATGTAAAATACAGATATTATCTTTTATAATATAGCATTTGTATTTATTAGAAAAAAGAGAAATGATCAGAATTAGCTATAGAAAGAGGTATCCTATTAAAGGTATTTGGTATTCATGTACCATTTCAGAAAGTTATTAAAGATTAGATAGATAGAATTAATTTAAATTAAGTTATTAATCTTTATGTATAACATTTATTGGTCAGATGATTACAGTTAAAATTGCTATATGGTTTATTAACTGATGGTACTTTATCAGTTAATACAGTGACTCGCTGTCTTATTTTCATTATCATTCATTGATAACTCAGCTTATTAAAATACTATAAAACTTCTTGTAGCTTTTTCAAATATTTCCAATTTCTAGAACTGCTGTTTGTGTTTTTATTATTTGAGGATATATATAAGACATAGGACTGTAGAGTGGTCATTTTGCTCATCCTTTTACATCTTATGAAAAGAACTCATATATCATCTCATGTCCCTGCCTAACTGTGGCAGGTGACAGGAAAATTGAGAAAGCACAGACAGGGATGCAAAAAGGCACTTTGCTTCTGGCTAGAGCAAACCTTGAAATTCATATGGTATAGCCACCACGGAGACTTAGGCTATCTGATCAAGTATTTTTTAGATATTTTATGTTAATGTAAAATTTTAACATGATTTCAGCTATCAAATGGAAATCAATTTTATTTCTTAATAAACTAACCCAAACACTTCGGAAATGATTTTGTACATAGTTAGATTAGATTGCTCTTGTTCCACCCCAAGAGATGTATATATATCCAACTAGTACACTTGGAAGAGCGAATTATTGGATAAATGTCTTTAACCAGTAGAATTGATGAAAGTGAATGTTCTTAGTTGCCTTCTGTGCTGACATTGACTACCATGGAGCCTGAGAGAGCTACAATGGCTAATAAGTAAATGGTGTAGACTAGGTAAGAGAGACTGAAGACATGATAATACAAAGTAAATAAACTTCAGAGTAAAAATTCTTTTTTATTATATTTTAATATTACGTATTTATTTTAAAATAATTGATCTAAGCGTCATACACATAGAGAAAGATTAAAAAGACCACCCATTTGCCATGATTTCCTGCAAATTTGAAACATTAAATTGACTTTGTGAAATTTTTTAAAAAAATAAATATTGCAATACATATTAAGCAATTTGTCTCCCAACCCAACTAAGATATTTCTAAACTTGGCAAGAGAGGCATTTGGCCATGTTTGCCCATGCTTTCAAGGGAATATTATGATTTTCAAAAAGCATATGCATACTCTGTCTACAAGCCTTTCTAATTTCATCAAAGATACTGAGATATTTATTTAACTGAAATGTTATGCTTTATTTATCTTTTTAAAATGTAACCATTGACTGTACTAAATTTTGTAACAGAAATTGTTAATGGAACTGATAATGAATATTTATTAATAAAAACAATCTTTGAAAATTAAGCACTTATAAGTATGCATGCTAAAAGCTAAAGTTTTTTAATGCAAAACAATATAACACATGTGAGAAATTAAAGAAAAAGAATATCACCCATAAAATTGGCATATGAGCACAATGCTATTTTTCTATTTCTGTGTTCAATGTTAGCCAAGTACATTTTATTTTAAATTATGATATACTTGTACATTTTGGTGTCCTGAAAAACTAGGTGGGTTTTTGTTGTTGTTTAGTATTGTGTTCTTTGCTTTTTTTTTTTTTTTTAATTTTCGTTTTTGTCTCCATAGAGTTCATAAAATATACATCAGTTTCCTTTCCTCTAGGAAGATGTACCTGCAGTTTCCCCCAAGCACTTCACGTTTTTAGAATTTTAGGATTTGGAGATTAGTTAATTTGTAAGAAAAAAGAAAATGTTAATTTCCTTATTATTTGGGATGTCCAGCATATTCTCAAAATGATGTATTTTGTGAACGGATAACAGTAATGCCAGGTAAAGACCTCTCTCTTTAGGAAGGTGAACCTCCCATTGATTCCTCTACAGCTGTGAGCCTTACTTAAGACAAATTGCCCTTGAGGTTTGTGTTCCTTTTTGTTCTTATAGCTTGTCCTTGAATCATGTCATTTCCACCTTGTAGTATTTAAAAGTGTATAGTGGATCAGCATGATAATGTAAACTTTTAAATATTTTACCTGTGTAGGATAAAGTAATCCCAGAAACTCTAAAAGAAATAATTGTGACCACTTACTTGAACTATCAACATCATGCCTCCTGTGGCTGTTTGCTGATTTGGAGCCTTGGGACTAATATTTCGTCTAAGTTGTTTACTTCATCGGCGTGGAAACAGTTGTTAAAAAGCTGTAGTACAAAACAAATTCAGTATGGGCCTGATTTATTAAATGCTGTTTTTTTCTTTTTTGTTACTAAAACAATACAGATTAATTTATTCTGTAATTACCTAAATATCTTCTCCAGCCTTTTCATAAACCTGTTTGTGAAGAATCTTCATTTATTCTAAAAAGAATAATCCTTAAAGCTAAAAACTCTGAATGAGTATGAACATCAGTGGACAAACCCATCATCTAAGGATTATAGAATTAAAACATCCAATAGAATGAGAAAAACTTGATATTTTATGCTGTATTTATGCTTTGTTTCTAAGTAAATCCTTGATTTCATTTGCAGCTTAGTCTAGTATGAGAGTTATATTAAAGAAAACACCAGATTCTCATATACTTTTTTGTCCTGTACTTTAAAGATTTTTTTTTTTTTTTTTTTTGAGACAGAGTCTCACTTTGTTGCCCCGGCTAGAGTGAGTGCCGTGGCATCAGCCTAGCTCACAGCAACCTCAAACTCCTGGGCTCAAGCGATCCTCCTGCCTCAGCCTCCTGAGTAGCTGGGACTACAGGCATGCGCCACCATGCCCGGCTAATTTTTTCTATATATATATTTTTAGTTGTCCAGATCATTTCTTTCTATTTTTTAGTAGAGATGGGGTCTCGCTCTTGCTCAGGCTGGTCTCGAACTCCTGACCTTGAGCGATCCACCTGCCTCGGCCTCCCAGAGTGCTAGGATTACAGGCATGAGCCACCGCACCCAGCCGTACTTTAAAGATTTTGATCATTATAACTGTGGCATCTCTTTTCTAGTGTATCTGAAAAGGAAATACAGTATATCAGCAGGCAAATAAAATTTTTCATATTATCACAATTATGTAGTCAGATTCCTTTTACAACTCAGAATAAGAACAACCTTGAGAATTCTTTTCTGATGGCTCATGCAAGTAAAGTAGGATGAAATGTGCTTACTCTTTTATATTAATTTATACCGATGATGGCTAGAAATAAGTATAATCTCACAAATGAATCCAGCTTTCAAGAATATATTTTTGTCATAAAGCGAAGAACAGAATGATGATAATGTAAGCACACATTAAGTTGGACTATTACTATCAATACTTAAATGAATGTTCTTCTCTCCTGAGAAGAATAGTTCATTTTGCCATAATGATTCAGACATTTTTGAAAATACAGATTAAGGTTTAATTTGGCACTTTTATTGGTCATCTTTCTCACTTTTCAAATATCGAGCTCATTTTAAAATCCAGAGCATTTACTAGACCACATTAAGAATCTACCCAAAACTTTTTCTTAAATTTTAAATTAGTTATAATGAATTCATTCATTCATTCATTTCACTTAAGAAAAAATTTGTATTTAAATTACTAAAAAATGTGTTGTTTTCTTCCAGATCAGAGACACTAAATCTGCAGATCAAAAAACAACACTTTTGCATTTTATTGCTGAAATTTGTGAGGAAAAATACCGAGATATCCTGAAATTTCCTGAAGAACTGGAACATGTAGAAAGTGCAAGCAAAGGTAATTGATTTGTAACTGCTTTGAGACTATTCCTTGCCTGTATATTTTATTTTAAATGGTAAGATTAAAGAATCTATACACTTTATTAATAATAAAAGTATTTTTGTTTGTTTACTGATATAAGAAAAGCAGGAATATAGTTTCCATTAGCTTAGCTTATATTTGACAGAATGATGCATTTAATAACCTTTGTCTTCATTTTTTAACACTTCTAGGTTTTCAAAGCTTTCATATCTCTGATCAGATAATATGTTCATTCTTTCTTTTGATAAACACTTAAGTGTATATTATTTGCAAAGGAACCATACTATGGGGCTTTTGGTGATATGAAAATGATTATAAGACAGTTCTTGCTTGAGTGTGTTTAAAATGTAGAAAGTGAGAAAAAATATATTTATATACACATACACACATGTTATAAAACAAGGATGAATGTGAGAAGTGCTACAGGAAAAGATAATGTCCTGTAGTTTGGATGAGGGAGAAAGTACTTTCAAATGGGTAGATAAGAGGCCAAAGGGTGAAATATGAGGTTAGGGTTTTACAGACATATAAAAGAGCTTGTTTTCCAACATGAGCAAAGTGGCAGAATGTTTTAGGATAGGTGAAGAGAAGAGAAGATTTGGGATGTTCCCAACACAAACAAATGATAAATATTCGAGGTGATGGATATCCTAAATACTCTGATTTAATCACTAAACATTATATGCATGTATCAAAATATCACATGTACCCCATAAATATATACAATTATTATGTATCCATTTAAATTTTTTAAAATAACTATAGGTATTTATATACACATAAAACTACATTTGCATATATAGCATTTATATGTTTTATATAGTTACAGAAAGAGACATTAAATTATATTGTGTACTTTAGCCACTACTGCTACTGACAAAGATAGAGTATAGAGCATAGCCTTTTAAGTTAAATGTTATAACTCTCTAATCCTAGCTCTACTACTTACTAGTTCCATAACCTTAAGCTAATAATTTAAACTTCCAAGTGTTTGTTTTCTCATCTGGAAAATGAGAATGATAGTAACAATAAAATTAAATGAGTTAACATGTACAAAGCATCCAGAAAAATTCTTGACATATAGGAAGTATATAGCTGTTGCTGTACCACTATTTGTAGTAGTAGTAGTAGTAGTAGTAGTAGTAGTAGTAATTGCTATACTACTAAGAATAAAATAGTTGTTTCTATTGTCTTATTAGAAGGAAATAATCATAAGGATATAAGATATGTATTACATTAAAATGTTAATGTATTAATATTTTATTCAATTCTCTTTGTTTACTTCCTATGCCTGGACTTTTGGTAAATCCTTTCGTATTTTTGTTTTAAAATATCACCAACTTCTCTTTCATAATCCATTTCAAGATCAGTATCTCTCTGTTGTATTTTGATTATTTCTCATTTTGTGTATTCTTCCTGCTAGTGTATTCAAAAGACTGTTACCAAAAATCCTGTTTTTATCTCACTGTTTGGGCTGTAGCGATCCCCATCCTCAAGTTATTTGGACTAGTTCTTTTTCTTTCCCTATGAAATTCAGACTTAGAGTTCTCAACTCAAAAAGTTCTTAGGCACATTCCGCCTGCTTGCATCCCTCTTTCATTTCCTCCTAGTTCTCATTTCAAGGTACTCAGACATATATTCTCTTGAGCCGTTTTTATTCCTTTATAATAATCCTGTCTATGTGTACGATTTCATGCTATATCTCCTGCCTAGAAATCTCACCTGCCCTGTCCTCTAAGACAACTGACTATCATTTGTCAAATCACTGTTCAGAATCTATTTCCTTTTTCTTTTTCTGAAATGTTTTGTTACTAAAGCCTTAGGAAAAAATACTTCAGAATTCAATCTTCAGGAAGAAACAAAATATGGTGAAAGGTCAAGCCAATTACCTCTTATTTATAGTTAAATACTTTTCCTTGGTGTTTCAGTCTAGCTTGTCTTGTTTGCTTAATGTACGTTTCAGCCCTGTTTGAATCACATTCTGTCACCTTCAGTACTGTGTATAACATACATATATATATACACACACACACATATGCACACACATACATTTTTTTTCACATTCTACCTCCAAAAATAAAAATAGGTCAATGCTATATAATTCATTCTCCTTGTAAAATGATCCTCTTCTCTTTAAAAACAAAAACAAAAAAGTACCTTTTTTTCCTAGAGGGATGTAGATAAGATAAAACTAATTCAGCTAAAGAATAAATTATTTAACTCATATTTACAGAACAATTGGATGACTACCAGTAACTTTTTCTATTTTTTTTGCATTATTAGAACTCAAGTGCCTACTTTGGTAGAGTAAGGATTTGTTTTATCTGGTATGGCAAATAACAAATTTATTTTAGTTCATTACTAAAGTCGCCAG